GGTGATGGAAAGCGGGAGAATGGGGCGGGGTGATGGAAGGAGGGAGAATGGGGCGGGGTGATGGAAAGCGGAAGATTGGGGCAGGGTGATGGAAAGCGGGAGATTGGGGCAGGGTGATGGAAAGCGCGAAGATGGGGCGGGGTGATGGAAAGCGGGAGAATGGGGCTAGGTGATGGAAAGCGGGAGAATGGGGCGGGGAGATGGAAAGCGGGAGAAAGGGGCGGGTTGATGGAAAGCGGGAGAATGGGGCGGGCTGATGGAAAACGGGAGAATGGGGCAGGGTGATGGAAGGAGGGAGAATGGGGCGGGGTGGTGGAAGGAGGGAGAAGGGGGCGAGGTGATGGAAAGCGGGAGAATGGGAAGGGGTGATGGAAAGCGGGAGAATGGGGCGGGGTGATGGAAAGCGGGAGAATGGGGCGGGGTGATTGAAAGCGGGAGAATGGGGCGGGCTGATGGAAAGCGGGAGGATGGGGCGGGGTGATGGAAGGAGGGAGAATGGGGCGGGGTGATGGAAGGAAGGAGAATGGGGCGGGGTGATGGAAAGCGGGAGAATGTGGCGGGGTGATGGAAAGCGGGAGAATGGGGCGGGGTGATGGAAAGCGGGAGAATGGGGCGGGGTGATGGAAGGAGGGAGAATGGGGCGGGGTGATGGAAGGAGGGAGAATGGGGCGGGGTGATAGAAAGCGGGAGAATGGGGCGGGGTGATGGAAGGAGGGAGAATGGGGCGGGGTGATGGAAAGCTGGAGAATGGGGCGGGGTGATGGAAAGCGGGAGAATGGGGCGGGGTGATGGAAAGCGGGAGAATGGGGCGGGGTGATGGAAAGCGGGAGAATGGGGCGGGGTGATGGAAACCGGGAGAATGGGGCGGGGTGATGGAAAGCGGGAGAATGGGGCGGGGTGATGGAAAGAGGGAGAATGGGGCGGGGTGATGGAAAGCGGAAGATTGGGGCAGGGTGATGGAAAGCGGGAGATTGGGGCGGGGTGATGGAAAGCGGGAAAATGGGGCGGGGTGATGGAAAGCGGGAGAATGGGGCGGGGTGATGGAAAGCGGGAGAATGGGGCGGGGTGATGGAAGGAGGGAGAATGGGGCGGGGTGATGGAAAGCGGGGGATTGGGGAAGGGTGATGGAAAGCGGGAGAACGGGGCGGGGTGATGGAAAGCGGGAAATGGGGCGGGGTGATGGAAAGCGGGAGAATGGGGCTGGGTGATGGAAAGCGGGAGAATGGGGCGGGGTGATGGAAAGCGGGAGCATGGGGCGGGGTGATGGAAGGAGGGAGAATGAGGCAGGGTGATGGAAGGAGGGAGAATGGGCCGGGGTGATGGAAAGCGGGAGAATGGGGTGGGGTGATGGAAAGCGAGAGAATGGGGGCGGAGTGATGGAAAGCGGGACAATGGGGCGGGGTGATGGAAAGCGGGAGAATGGGGCGGGGTGATGGAAAGCGGGAGAATGGGGAGGGGTGTTGGAAAGCGGGAGAATGGGGCGGGGTGATGAAAAGCGGGAGAATGGGGCGGGTTGATGGAGAGCGGGAGAATGGGCGGGGTGATGGAAAGCGGGAGATGGGGCGGGTGATGGAAAACGGGTGAATGGTGTGGGGTGATGGAAAGCGCGAGAACAGGGCGGGGTGATGGAAAGCAGAAGAATGGGGCGGGGGTGATGGAAAGTGGGAGAATGGGGAGGGGTGATGGAAAGCGGGGGAATGGGGCGGGATGATGGGAAGCGGAAGAATGGGGCGGGGTGATGGAAAGCGGGAGAATGGGGCAGGGTGATGGAAAGCGGGAGAATGGGGCGGGGAGATGGAAAGCGGGAGAATGGGGCGGGGTGATGGAAGGAGGGAGAATGGGGCGGGGTGATGGAAGGAGGGAGAATGGGGCGGGGTGATAGAAATTGGGAGAATGTGGCGGGGTGATGGAAAGCGGGAGATGAGGCTGGGGTTATGGGAAGCGCAGAATTGGGCGGGGTGATGGAAGGAGGGAGAATGGGGCAGGGTGATGGAAAGCAGGAGAATGGGGCGGGCTGATGGAAAGCTGGAGAATTGGGCGGGGTGATGGAAAGCGTGGAGAACGGGGCGGGGTGATGGAAAGCGGGAGAATGGGGCGGGGTGATGGAAAGCAGGGGAATGGGGCGGGGTGATGGAAAGCGGGAGAATTGGGCGGGGTGATGGAAAGCGGGAGAATGGGGCGGGGTGATGGAAAGCGGGAGAATTGGGCGGGGTGATGGAAAGAGGGAAAACGGGGCGGGGTGATGGAAAGCGGGAGAATGGGGCGAGGTGATGGAAAGCGGGAGAATGGGGGGGGGTGATGGAAGGAGGGAGAATGGGGCGGGGTGATGGAAAGCGGGAGAATAGGGCGGGGTGATGGAAAGCGGGAGAATAGGGCGGGGTGATGGAAAGCGGGAGAATGGGGAGGGTGTGAAGAAGTGAACGAGAGAATGTGTGAACTATGAACGAAGTGAGTACAAATAGGAAACCGTAGCTGGGTTGTACCCCCTATGGGATACCCCACTATAGCCTACACAAATATGTAAGCTATAATGTTCTGACACACCCCCATAGGCAAAGTGGGGGAGAACAAGGGGTCACAAGACCAGTCAAGCAAAGCAAAGCAAAGCTCAGGGTGGATCACAAAGTCACCACACATTCCGAGCACAAGTTCAAGGGCCACAAGGCCAGTTCACCTGCAAGATCATATATATAGAGATATACAAGAGTCAAGCAAGCAAGAGCAAGACTATATATATGTGACGGTACAAGGAAGGTCAAGAAGTGAGCAAGTGAGGCAAGACAGACACAAGACCCAGCTGCGTGCAGCAACGCTGATGATCACAAGGCGCAAGTGCCTTGGTGAACACATCAGCAGTGTTGGCCTCAGAGGCCACGTACGCAAGTCGCAACTGTCCACGCTGCTGTAGCTCACGAGCAAGAAAGTAGCGGAGAGCAATGTGCTTTGTCCTGTGCTCCAGTCTCTGCTCTCGACACAAGGCCAGCATGGCCTTGTTGTCTACGTACAGGACTGGAGGAGAACGAGGCTGCTCTCCAAGGTCGGTCAGCAGGTAGGTGAGCCAGCGTAACTCCTGTGCAGCCATAGCCCCAGCGTAGATCTCAGCCTCACAACTGGAGCCGAGAACAGAAGACGAGCGGGTAGCCCGCCACGAAACAGAGCCGGAACCAAGGCTGAAGGTGTAACCCTGTGACGACCGCTGCGTAGCCTGGTCGTCAGCCCAAGAAGCGTCTGCGTGCCCAGTGAGGACCACAGGACTGCGCCCTCCAAGCACTAGCCCCATGCCCGACGTACTGCACAAGTAGCGCAACACCCTCTTCGCTGCAGCCATGTGCTCTGGTCGGTGTCTCCCAGGAGCAACATAGCGTGCGAGAATGCTAAGAGGGTATGCAAGGTCAGGTCGAGTGCAGGTCATCAGGTACATGAGGCAGCCAACAAGCTCTGCATACGGGCCACTCGACTCTACGGACTCATCCGAAGGCAGAGCTGAGAGCGAGTGGCGAGTAGGCAGAGGAGTGGCCTGAGGCGAGGAGTACGTGAAGCCAAAGCGCTGAAGGACCTGCTGCACCATGTGTGACTGAGTCAAGGTAATGGTGCGGCGTGCTCTGTCCCGGGTGATCTGCAAGCCAAGGTAGCTGCGCAGTTCACCCAGGTCAGTGCACGTGTGTCTCTTCTGCAGCTCGGACTTCACGTAGGCGAGTCCAGCAGTGTCAGCTGTGGCAAAGACCAAGTCGTCGACGTACACGAGGATGTAGAACGGCGGCAGAGAGGTGTCGGTGCGCAGAAACAGCGACGGGTCGGCAGTAGACGGAGCAAACCCAAGTGCCGCGAGCGTAGTCCTCAGTGTGTCGTGCCACTCACGTGGCGCCTGGCGGAGACCGTAGACTGGACGCCGGAGACTCCACTGGGTACCAGGAGGGAAAGACCCAGTGAAGCCAGGTGGGCGGCGCAGCCAGATCTCCTCGTGCAGACTGCCCTGCAAGAAAGCTGTGCTGAAGTCGAGAGAGTGCAGCTCGTAGTCACGGTGAGCAGCAACGTGCAGCAGAACCCGAAGAGTGGTCATCTTCGGGGTGGGGGAGAAGGTCTGAAAGTAGTCAACCCCCTGCCGCTGACTGAAGCCACGAGCCACGTAACGCGCCTTGAAGACAGGCGGAGAACCCGGCGGCCGCTTCACCCTGAAAATCCACATGCCACTGACGATGTTCGCCCCAGGAGGGGGGACAGCGTCGACGTAGGTGCCTGTGGACTTCCAGGAAGCCATCTCTGCGTCCATAGCTGCCTGCCACTGAGAGGAGTAGGGACCCTCTATCGCCTCCGCGTAAGAGCGCGGAGTCGGGATGTCTGGTGCATCCGGGTCTCCCTCAGGGGCTAGCAGTACAGACGCGAGATGGGGTGAAGCGGCGGCCAGACACTGGAACTCCTCCTGCCTGTCCTCAAGGACGTCCGTGCCGAGGGCACACTCACCCCCGACGGACGGAGGACAGGCAGACTCAGACTCAGCGACAAGACTGGCAGCGTAGTCTAGACGACAGCGCGCAGCAAAGTCGACAAGCTCAGTGACAAGGGCAGACGCAGCAGACGACTCGAAGGAAGGGTCAGTGACAGCAGTAGCAAGGAGACGCGTGACAGTAGGACTGGCAGCACGAAGAGAGTCCGACTCCGGGTCGGCAAGAGCAGGAAGAGAGGAAGCAGGAGGAGAAGGCAAAGGGGCACGCAGAGGAGCAGTGGACGGACGCAGAGACATCCGGTGCGTGCCAGGGACAGGAGGAGGACGCTGACGCGAACCGCGACCACTAGCGCGCTCTGGACGGACAGGCGACGCAGGACGAGACGCAGGCTCACGACGCTCAGTAAGACCTCCAGTCGGACCAGCGTAGGGAGAAGGAGCAGGCAAAGGGGAGGCAGGCTGTAGCTGTGGCTGTGACCGGACAGGCTGCGGACCCTCTAAGGGAGGAGGAGAAAGTGGAAGACCAAGAACCTGCTGCAGGAGCGGAACGAAGTACGGTCGGGGCCGCGCGGCGACTCCTAGAAACAGCAGGAACAGCACCAGCACCCTCGGCAGGAGCACCCACTCCAGTAGCACCTCCAGCAGCACCACCAGAAGCTCCAGAACCTCCAGCAGCAGCACCAGGAGCACTGTCAGTCGGACCGCCAGCAGCAGGCTCAGCGCCAACACCCTCAGCAGCACCAGCTCCAAGAGAACTCGCAGACCCAACAGCTCCAGCACCCACAGGACGAGCACCGCCGGGACGCGCGGCAGCAGTGCCCTCAGCAGCCGAAGAACCACCAGCACTAGCAGCACGCCTCCAGCGCCTGGCAAACCACTCACTCAGCTCCTGTGGGGAGAGTGGCTCCCGGCGAGACGAAGCACCCCCAGGCTCAGCACTCCCAGGCACAGCAGTCCCAGGCACAGCACCCCCAGGCACAGCACCTCCAGGCTCAGCACCCCCACGCTCAGCACCCCCAGGCTCAGCACCCCCAGACTCAGCACCCCCAGACTCCGCACCCCCAGACTCCGCACCCCCAGGCTCAGCACCCCCAGACTCCGCACCCCCAGGCTCAGCTCCCGCAGCAGCACCAGAGTCACCAGTGACCTCGACAGGCTCGACCGCGTCTACCTGGGACACACCTGACGGGGCAGGACCCTGAGGGGGGAGGGGGTCTACCGGGGGGGGACCTGGTACCAGGAAAAGCGGGGGCGGGGGGAGGGACGGAGTGCGGTAGGGGAAGAGGCGGTAGTAGGGTACCGACTCGTCGAACGTGACGTCCTGGGAGGACAGAACACGTCGAGAGGTGGGGTGGTAGAACTGCCACCCAGGGGCGTCGGGGGGGAACCCCAGGAAGACGCAGGGAGCAGCGCGAGGGGACAGCTTGTCCGCAGACAAGTCGCGGACAAACGCCCGAGATCCCCAGACCCGGAACGCCGACGCATCGCCAACCTTCCCCGTCCACAGCAGGGCTGGGGAGGTCTCCGGCCTGGAGACCCTGGGGTGGAGGTTGATCTGATGCGCTGCGTACCTGACCGCAAACGGCCACAGAAAATGGGGGGCAGCCGCATGCATCATGGACGTACGGGCGACGTCCATGACCATGCCAATGCGGCGCTCAGCAATCCCATTTTGCTGTGGGGAGTCCGGAAGCGTGAAGGACTGGCGGATGCCTCGCGCTCAACAGTAGGCACGAAGAAGGCCACAGGAGAACTCTCCGCCTCTGTCAGAGTGCAGACGCAACACAGGAAAGTCCGAGCCAAAGCTCTGCCTGAGCTGAAGACGAGCTGCGCGGATCCAGTCGATCAGCACCTCAGTAACCTCACCCTTGCTGCGCAAGGGGAAGACTGTGGTGTAACGCGAGTAGTCGTCAACAACTAGCAGGAAGTAGCGCTCGTGACCCTGTCCAAGGACGCGGGCCGGCCCCCACACGTCCATGTGAAGTGTCTGCAGCGGGGCCTCTGTCGGAGGAAACTGGGAGGAGTGAGGGGCAGCACGCTGGCGCCCCTCGACATAGGGGACACAGGCAGGGCCAGGGCCCTGAGGAAGGGGAGGTAGGGCACCGGGGGAGACCAGACACAAGAAGACGGGAGGCCATGCCTCTGAGCCGAAGCAGAGAGGGGTGGCCAAGGCGGTGGTGCCAGAGGAGGGTCTCGTGAGACAGACGACGACACGAACAGGGGGAAGACTCAGGACCAGACCTGGACGCTGCTGCAAACACCTGACCAGACGAAGGGACCGTACCAGACTCAGTACCTGGAGGAGAAGCAGTGGTCAGTGTGTACAGGCTCGACCCTGGCCGACGTGTAAACGTAGCCAGGTGACGTCCCGTGCTAGCCTCCGTGCAGTGGGTCACCCGCTGACGAGCAGGAGTGAACTGGTGGACACCCGCATCCTGTAGGTCAGCACCACTCACCAGGTTCGTCGAGAACGAGGGGAGGTAGAGACCAGACAGGGTGCCAGAGGGGGCCGCCGGACACGGAAGTACCGTGGAGAAGCGAGACAGGACAGGCCCCCCAGAGGGGTCAGCCAGGGACACCGCAACCGGCCGACTCAGCGGCGTGAGAGTAGTGCGGTCCCGAAAGAAGGAGCGAGACGCTCCAGAGTCAAGTGTGAAGGTGTGAGAGGCCGAAGCCGACACAGTAACTGAGAGGGCAGACTCACCAGTACCTGAGAGCTCAGACGCACTGGCACCTAGAGCAGCAGCCTCACTAGTACCTGACGCAGCAGTACCAATGCCCGGGTCGGGCGGGAAACACCGGTAACAGTCATCCTCATCACTACCAGTCACAACATACATAGCAGAAAGAATAGCATCAAAGTCAAGATCATAAATGGCTACACCAGCCCTAGACAGCTCCCCCCAGCGGGGGATCTCAGCGGCCTCCGGAAACTGCTGACGCCAAGCGTCGGTCAGGCGGCCAAAGCAGCGGCGGGCCGTGTGGGTGCCTCCACACCTCTCCCCCGCACGGTCGCCGGTGCGAAGAACGTAGGGGCAGGGACCAAACGCACCACCACGCTGACGCTGCAAGTACCACTCACGGAGCTGCTGAGGGGCGGGGACGGTGCGAGAGCGTTGCTGCGGCTGCTGCTGCTGCTGCTGTTGCTGCTGGCGCTGACCACCCCCAGAGCTGCTGCGCTGGGACGAGACACTCCGACCCTCGCCGCCACCGCCACTCCCGCCTCCACCACCGCCTACGTCTCCACCGCCACCGCCCCCACTGGTACCCTCGCCCCCGCCTCCTCCGCTACCGCCCCCGCCGCCACCTCCGCCTCCACCGCCTCCACCAGTACCTCCACTCCCGCCACCACCTCCACCGCCACCCCCACTCCCCCCGCCACCCCCACCTCCTCCGCCACTGCCCCCTCTAGCTCCACCCGCTCCCTTGCCCCCCTTGCCCTTGCCAGAGCGGCGTCTACCGCTGGGGGCAGACGCCGCACCGACCGACTCAAAACCAGTGAGGTCGGCCGCAGCGGCAGAGGCGACAGAGGGCAGCAGGGGGGAAGGAGAACACCCCTCAAAGATGGGGGTGCGAGGGTCACCCCGAGAGGCCCCTACAGCGACTATGCTCTTCTCAGCCGCTAGCAGGGACTCCTCAAGGAGGTCGACAGTGAGGGTGGTGGGACAGACAGAGAGAAACTGGTCCCTAACGACACGGAGGGACTCAGGGAGACGGGTGACAAGAAAGTAGAGAGTGATGTAGCATGGGAGGAGGGTTGGCGGCGCGGAACTCAGCAGGAAGGGCAGCGCGGTAGCGAGCGTCACTAGCGCGGAGGTGGGTAATGAGGTCAGCGACAGTGGGAAAGGCAGCGAGGTCAGGGAAGAGGAAAGGTAGCATGAGGCGGCTCAGCGTAGCGGAGGAAGGGGAGGAGTAGCGTGCAACTACAGCGTCGTACAAGGCCTGAGCGGTCTTGCACTGACTAAAGTGGGCACGCTCGGAGGAAGGGAGGTGGCGACGCACAGCAAGACGTGCAGCAGCATCGCGGGTCGCCCACTTGGAGCGAACGGCGGAATCAGCATCAGGAGGAGGGGCAGGGACAGCGCCAGAGAGAAAGTCAAAGAGAGAGACCTCATCGACCGCATCACACAGTAAGTACAGCTGCAGGTCCTCAATCCAGACTGCAAAGTCAATGGCTCTACCCTCAGCTGTCAAAAGCTAGGACATTGGGGGTGGCCATGACAGCAGCTGACAGTCTCACCGGGCAGGAAGAGTCGGGTAGGTCAGCGGCGCAGGTACACAGCCCAGGAGCAGCAGTAGCCCGACAGGAGCAGGAGAGCAGCTCCTCTGGCGGCTCGGGCAGCTCGGGCGGCTCGGGCGGCTTGGGCGGCACGGGCGGCTCGGGCGACTAGGGCGGCTCGGGCGGCTCGGGTGGCTAGGGCGGCGCGGGCGGCCCGGGCGGCTCGGGCGGCTCAGGCGGCTCGGGCGGCGGCACGGGCGGCTGGGGCGGCTCGGTGGCGGCTCACGGGCGGCTGGGACGGCGCGCGGGGAGCTCACGGGCGGCTGGGCGGGCGGCCAGGGCGGCTCACGGGCGGCGGCGGCGGCGTCGGCGGCTCACGGGCGACGGCGGCTCACGGGCGGCGGCGGCGGCGTCGGCGGCTCACGGGCGACGGCAGCGGCAGCGGCATCGGCGGCTCACGGGCGGCGTCGGCGGCGTCGGCGGCTCACGGGTGGCGGCGGCGGCGTCGGCTGCTCACGGGCGGCGTCGGCAGCTCACGGGCGGGCTGAAGGCCCACGGGTGGGCGGTTCGCGGGCAGCGCCGGCTCACGGGCAGGCGGCGTGACGGGCGGGCGGCGGGACGGGCGGCGGCGTCACGGGGGGGGGGGGGGGCGACGGGACGGGCGGCGGCGTCACAGGCGGCGGCGTCACGGGCGGCGGTTCACGGGCGGCTGCGTCACGGGCGGCGCTCACGGGCGGCGCTAAAGGGTGGCGACAGGCGGCGGCTCACGGGCGGCGCTACGGGCGGCGGCTCACGGGGGGCGCTACGGGCGGCCGCACCGGCGGCGCTAACGGGCGGCCGCACGGGCGGCGCTACGGGCTGCGCAAAGGGCGGCGCGAAGGGGCAGCCGCACGGGCGGCGCTAACGGGCGGCGCTAACGGGCGGCGCGAACGGGCGGCTCGAAAGGGCGGGCGCTAGGGCGGGCGCTAGGGCGGGCACTAGGGCGGGCGCCAGGGCAGAAAAAAAAGTTCTAGGTGGTGGGCCCGAAGCACAGTTCCCACAGGGGAACCTGCTCTGATTCCATGTGAAGAAGTGAACGAGAGAATGTGTGAACTATGAACGAAGTGAGTACAAATAGGAAACCCTAGCTGGGTTGTACCCCCTATGGGATACCCCACTATAGCCTACACAAATAAGTAAGCTATAATGTTCTGACAGAGGGGTGTTGGAAAGCGGGAGAATGGGGCGGGGTGATGAAAAGCGGGAGATTGGGGCGGGTTGATGGAGAGCGGGAGAATGGGGCGGGGTGATGGAAAGCGGGAGATGGGGCGGGTGATGGAAAGCGGGTGAATGGTGTGGGGTGATGGAAAGCGCGAGAATGGGGCGGGGTGATGGAAAGCAGAAGAATGGGGCGGGGTGATGGAAAGTGGGAGAATGGGGAGGGGTGATGGAAAGCGGGGGAATGGGGCGGGATGATGGGAAGCGGAAGAATGGGGCGGGGTGATGGAAAGCGGGAGAATGGGGCAGGGTGATGGAAAGCGGGAGAATGGGGCGGGGAGATGGAAAGCGGGAGAATGGGGCGGGGTGATGGAAGGAGGGAGAATGGGGCGGGGTGATGGAAGGAGGGAGAATGGGGCGGGGTGATGGAAAGTGGGAGAATGTGGCGGGGTGATGGAAAGCGGGAGATGGGGCTGGGGTTATGGGAAGCGCAGAATTGGGCGGGGTGATGGAAGGAGGGAGAATGGGGCAGGGTGATGGAAAGAGGGAGAATGGGGCGGGGTGATGGAAAGCAGGAGAATGGGGCGGGCTGATGGAAAGCGGGAGAATTGGGCGGGGTGATGGAAAGCGTGAGAACGGGGCGGGGTGATGGAAAGCGGGAGAATGGGGCGGGGTGATGGAAAGCAGGGGAATGGGGCGGGGTGATGGAAAGCGGGAGAATTGGGCGGGGTGATGGAAAGCGGGAGAATGGGGCGGGGTGATGGAAAGCGGGAGAATAGGGCAGGGTGATGGAAAGCGGGAAAACGGGGCGGGGTGATGGAAAGCGGGAGAATGGGGCGAGGTGATGGAAAGCGGGAGAATGGGGGGGGGGTGATGGAAGGAGGGAGAATGGGGCGGGGTGATGGAAAGCGGGAGAATAGGGCGGGTGATGGAAAGCGGGAGAATAGGGCGGGGTGATGGAAAGCGGGAGAATGGAGCGGGGTGATGGAAAGAGGGAGAATGGGACGGGGTGATGGAAAGCGGGAGAATGGGGCGGGGTGATGAAAAGCGGGAGAATGGGGCGGGGAGATGGAAAGCGGGAGAATGGGGCGGGGTGATGGAAGGAGGGAGAATGGGGCGGGGTGATGGAAGGAGGGAGAATGGGGCAGGGTGATGGAAAGTGGGAGAATGTGGCGGGGTGATGGAAAGGGGGAGATGGGGCTGGGGTTATGGGAAGCGGAGAATTGGGCGGGGTGATGGAAGGAGGGAGAATGGGGCGGGGTGATGGAAAGAGGGAGAATGGGGCGGGGTGATGGAAAGCAGGAGAATGGGGCGGGGTGATGGAAAGCGGGAGAATTGGGCGGGGTGTGCGAAAGCGTGAGAACGGGGCGGGGTGATGGAAAGCGGGAGAATGGGGCGGGGTGATGGAAAGCAGGGGAATGGGGCGGGGTGATGGAAAGCGGGAGAATTGGGCGGGGTGATAGAAAGAGGGAGAATGGGGCGGGTGATGGAAAGCGGGAGAATGGGGCAGGGTGATGGGAGGATGGAGAATTGGGCAGGGTGATGGAAGGAGGGAGAATGGGGCGGGGTGATGGAAAGCGGGAGAATGGGGCGGGGTGATGGAAGGAGGGAGAATGGGGCGGGGTGATGGAAAGCGGGAGAATGGGGCGGGGTGATGGAAAGCGGGAGAATGGGGCGGGAGTGATGGAAAGAGGCGAAAGAATGGGGCGGGGTGAAGGAAAGCGGGAGAATGGGGCGGGTGATCGAAAGAGGGAGAATGGGGCGGGGTGATGGAAAGCGGGAGAATGGGTCGGGTTGATGGAAAGCGGGAGAATGGGGCGGGGTGATGGAAAGTTGGAGAATGGGGCGGGGTGATGGAAAGCGGGAGAATGGGGCGGGGTGATGGAAAGCGGGAGAATGGGGCGGAGTGATGGAAAGCGGGAGAATGGGGCGGGGTGATGGAAAGAGGCGAGAGAATGGGGCGGGGTGATGAAAAGTGGGAGAACGGGGCGGGGTGATGGGAAGCGGGAGAATGGGGGCGGGGTGATGGAAAGCGGGAGAATGGGGCGCGGTGATGGAAAGCGGGAGAATGGGGCGGGGTGATGGAAAGAGGCGGGAGAATGGGACGGGGTGATGGAAAGCAGGAGAATGGGGTGGGGAGATGGAAAGCGGGAGAATGGGGCGGGGTGATGGAAAGAGGGAGAATGGGGCGGGGTGATGGAAAGCGGGAGAATGGGGCGGGGTGATGGGAAGCAGGAGAATGGGGCGGGGTGATGGAAAGAGGGAGAATGGGGAGGGGTGATGGAAAGCGGGAGAATGGGGCGGGGTGATGGAAAGCGGGAGAATTGGGCGAAGTGATGCAAAGTGGGAGAATGGGGCGGGGTGATGGAAAGCGGGAGAATGGGGCGGGGTGATGGAAAGCGGGAGAATGGGGCGGGGTGATGGAAAGCGGGAGAATAGGGCGGGGTGATGGAAAGAGGGAGAATAGGGAGGGGTGATGGAAAGAGGGAGAATAGGGCGGGGTGATGGAAAGCGGGAGAATGGAGCGGGGTGATGGAAAGAGGGAGAATGGGACGGGGTGATGGAAAGCGGGAGAATGGGGCGGGGTGATGAAAAGCGGGAGAATGGGGCGGGGTGATGGAAAGCGAGAGAATGGGGCGGGGTGATGGAATGAGGGAGAATGGGGCGGGGTGATGGAAAGCAGGAGAATGGGGCGGGGTGATGGAAAGCGGGAAAAGGTGGCGGGGTGATGGAAAGCGGGAGAACGGGGCGGGGTGATGGAAAGCGAGAGAATGGGGCGGGATGATTGAAAGAGGGAGAATGGGGCGGGGTGATGGAAAGTGGGAGAATGGGGCGGGGTGATGGAAAGAGGGAGAATGGGGCGGGGTGATAGAAATCGGGAGAATGGGGCGGGATGATGGAAAGAGGGGAGGATGGGGTGGGGTGATGGAACGCAAAAGAATGGGGCAAGGTGATGGAAAGCGGGAGAATGGGACGGGGTGATGGAAAGCGGCAGAATTGGGTGGGGTGATGGATAGAGGGAGAATGGGGAAGGGTGATGGAAAGAGGGAGAATGGGGCGGGGTGATGGAAAGCTGGAGAATGGGGCGGGGTGATGGAAAGCGGGAGAATGGGGCGGGGTGATGGAAAGCGGGAGAATGGGGCGGGGTGATGGAAAGAGGCAAAAGAATGGGGCGGGGTGAAGGAAAGCGGGAGAATGGGGCGGGTGATCGAAAGAGGGAGAATGGGGCGGGGTGATGGAAAGCGGGAGAATGGGTCGGGTTGATGGAAAGCGGGAGAATGGGGCGGGGTGATGGAAAGTTGGAGAATGGGGCGGGGTGATGGAAAGCGGGAGAATGGGGCGGGGTGATGGAAAGCGGGAGAATGGGGCGGAGTGATGGAAAGCGGGAGAATGGGGCGGGGTGATGGAAAGAGGGAGAATGGGGTGGGGTGATGGAAATCGGGAGAATGGGGCGGGGTCATGGAAAGAGGGAAAATGGGGTGGGGTGATAGAAAGAGGTAGAATGGGGCAGAGTGATGGAAAGCGAGAGAATGGGGCAGGGTGATGGAAACCGGGAGAATGGGGCGGGGTGATGGAAACCGGGAGAATGGGGCGGGGTGATGGAAAGCGGGAGAATGGGGCGGGGTGATGGAAAGCGGGAGAATGGGGCGGGGTGATGGAAAGCGGGAGAATGGGGCAGGGTGATGGAAAGAGGGAGAATGGGGCGGGGTGATGGAAAGAGGGAGAATGGGGCGGGGTGATGGAAAGCAGGAGAATGGGGCGCGGTGATGGAAAGCGGGAGAATGGGGCGGGGTGATGGAAAGTGGGAGAACGGGGCAGGGTGATGGGAAGCGGGAGAATGGGGGCGGGGTGATGGAAAGCGGGAGAATGGGGCGCGGTGATGGAAAGCGGGAGAATGGGGCGGGGTGATGGAAAGAGGCGGGAGAATGGGACGGGGTGATGGAAAGCAGGAGAATGGGGTGGGGAGATGGAAAGCGGGAGAATGGGGCGGGGTGATGGAAAGAGGGAGAATGGGGCGGGGTGATGGAAAGCGGGAGAATTGGGCGGGGTGATGGAAAGCAGGAGAATGGGGCGGGGTGATGGAAAGAGGGAGAATGGGGAGGGGTGATGGAAAGCGGAAGAATGGGGTGGGGTGATGGAAAGCGGGAGAATGGGGCGGGGTGATGCAAAGCGGGAGAATGGGGCGGGGTGATGGAAAGCGGGAGAATGGGGCGGGATGATGGAAAGCGGAAGAATGGGGCGGGGTGATGGAAAGCGGGAGAATGGGGCGGGGTGATGGAAAGAGGGAGAATGGGGCGGGATGATGGAAAGCGGGAGAATGGGGCGGGGTGATGGAAAGCAGGAGAATGGAAAGGGGTGATGGAAAGCGGGAAAATGGGGCGGGGTGATAGAAAGCGGGAGAATGGGGCGGGGTGATGGAAAGAGGGAGAATGGGGCCGGGTGATGGAAAGCGGGAGAATGGGGCCGGGTGATGGAAAGAGGGAGAATGGGGAGGGGTGATGGAAAGAGGGAGAATTGGGCGGGGTAGTGGAAAGCGGGACAATGGAGCGGGGTGATGGAAAGCGGGAGAATTGTTGGTGCAACCTACGGTTTGCACTCGGCTTGTTGTCCGTGTGCGTGCATGCGTGTGTGCATGGAATGGTATGAGGGCATGGGATAATATATATTTCATGCTTACAATAGTGTGTGTATGATGGGTCATGATATTGAGTGTGTGTCAAGTCAATAGCGAGTTATCGCTAGTCGCGTGTAACGCGGTCATTTTGTGTGTCCCGCGCGGTTTCTATTTTGTCGTGCGCAGTTTCTATTTTGTCGCTTGTCGAACGTTCGGCGTGTCGCAGGTGTGTGCAGCAGACCCATCAAGAACTCAAGGATGAGTTTGTGATGAAGAACCCGAGCCCTGGTGTCAACATTCAAGTGTTCGCGAAGTCCGCGAAAAGGGTACACCTCAAGATATCAAGATTCGTTACATTACAACGTGTAGTGTAACATTTCAGTTGGTGTAGACCCTAGTGAAGGGTAGTTTCGAGATCCTTCGTGGTTGGGGACAGTGTGGCACTGTTCCACATCACTGTACCTCGGCTCTTGGGGTTTGTAGGAGCTGGGAGTCATTCCCAACTCGTAACTCTTGCTAACTCTTCCTAAGTTGCATTCTAAGACTATGTTGCTGCCATAGTGCTGTTCGTTCAAACCGTCGCTGTGTCGTCAAATCTTGATGATATCGTGCGATCTAAATTGCTTATTGTAGGCGACGTTAGGGAGCTCCAGATCCAAGTTGAATGAAGTCATTTGGAGTTGTGAGCAGATCGCTATGAACGTTTAAAGCCGCTGTGCAGAAATCCGACTGTGCACTCTATCCTTAGTTTTAGGCACATTGAAGCCTACTGTGACTATAACAAGTGGTATCAGAGCCCCTTGGAGCAGCTACGACTATGACTGGACCTGGAGAAAGGGGTGGCAGAGGTGCTGGTGGCAATGGAGATGCCCAAGCACAAGGCCAAGCCCGTGATTCAGCCGTGGCGCCCGTGCAACCTACTCTTGGACCTTCTAGGGATGAACCAAGAGCGTTCGGACTTGACAAGTTCAACGGCGACAACTTTGCTGAATGGTCCTTCAGAATGGAGAACGTGTTCGACCATTATGACCTGCTGGAGGTGATGGAAGGAACGGAGAAGCGTCCCGAGAACGACCCGGAGAAGAGCCTGTGGGTGCGGAAGAGCGCACAAGGCTATCTTCTACTTGGGCAAGCGTCGGGGAGCAACCAGATCCGTCACATCAAGCCTTTCCAGCATGAACCAGAGAAAGGACAAAAGGCATGGGCTGCTCTCAAGGGTGTACACGCTCCTGCAACAGCGGCGGTAGCTGTGGTGTTGGAACGGCAAATGGCGACGCCACGAATTGAGGAAGATGAACCCGTGGAAGACGGGGTGCAGAGATTCTTCGACTTGTTAACGCGGCTAGAGGGAGCTGATTAGAACTACAGTGAGCTCCAGAAGAAGACCAAGTTGCTGGCCTTACTCACCGAGTCGTGGTCCTCGCTCATCATCAATTTGAACCGTGACCTGCCCCGTCTCTCGCTTGAAGGCGTGAAGCGCGCGATCCTACAAGAGGACTTCCGCCGCCGTGAGTTGGCGAGTGCGGATGGCGCTGGGGCAGCTAGCGTCGGCCGTGGATATGGCCGAGGAAGAGGCAGAGGACGAGGGGGAGGAAGATCTGGTGGCGGCAACTTCAGTGGAGGCCGCGGGAACGGCAGTTACGGCAGCGACGACAAGAGCTACGGACGCGGTCGCGGTCGATTCGACGGCGAATGTCATTATTGCGGCAAGAGCGGACATATGTGGCGCGATTGCTTCAAACTCCCTGAAGGATGGACCCCTGCTCAAGGCCAAGAGGGTAAAGGAGCAGGAGGAGGGAGAGGAAGAGGCCGTGGAGGCCGTGGCGGTGCTGCAAATGTGAAGAGCGAAGATAACGACAAGGACCCGAGCGGCGATCGGTACCCGGGCCTATTCTACTTCGTGTCGACGCAAGTACCCGGCTGGTCCAGAGAAGGATGAAGACCTTGAGGAGCCAGCAGCTGTAGGGAAGGTGACCCTACACCCCCTGGACTATTGGGTGATCGACAGTGGCGCTACCTATAGCATGACACCTCGCCCGGACTTGCTCACCGAACTTGAACCGTCATCGGTGAAGCATGTCACATCGGCTTTGGGGCAGCGAGCAGAGGTAAAAAGGCATGGGGAAGGCCATGTTCAAGGGTGCTGATGGGAAGATGGTGGGCCTCAAGAACGTGCTTTGGGTGCCCAGCCTTGCTGCGAACCTGATTTCCGTGCGGCGGTTGGCAAAGGCCGGCATGGACACTAACTCGAAGGGAGCCAAGACCTACACCGCAAGGCTTGGCGATCGGATTCTTTGGGACCTTCATGAGGACGGAGATGTCTACAACGAGATGTGGCAGATCCCTGTGGTCCCAATGCCTAAGGAGAGGCAAGTGGCAGCAAGCGTCAGCACTAAAGGTGGAGCGGTTGGTAGCGGCGATTGCGCGGACGGTCGCGCTAAGGAGAAGGAGTCCAAGAAGTGCAATCTTGGAGGGACCAGCAAGTTTAGTGAACCTAAGGAGAGTGGTGCAGCAACCAAGGAGCAGCAAAAGGCTGAGGAGAACCCCGAGGCAACAGCGGAGGAGGACTACGGAGAGAGTATGTGGGGCGCTATTGCGAGCGCGGCATTTTCGAATCCAACTTCGGCTACTGGGGGAGTGTGATTGGCTCACCTTGCATCGGCGCATGGGGCATGTGGCCCTGCCCATCTTGCAGCAGCATACGTGTGAAGGGGGAGCCCGATGAGGTACTTGGCTGCCCGACGTGCATGCAAGCCAAGTTCACCCGTTTCCCATTCTCTAGTTCGGAGGCAACGGCTAAGGCACCACTTGATGAGGTGGTGATGGACGTGGTGGGCCCCCTGAAGCTTGGAGCTGCTGGAGCTGAGTACTTCCTCACTATTGTGGACGTCTACACCCGTATGACTTGGGTGTACGTGCTGGCCAAGAAGAGCGACGTGGCTGAAACGTTGAAGGCGGATTGGTTCCCGATGGTGGAGCGGCAACAAGACCGTCTAGTCAAGTCAATCCGCACCGATCGAGGGGGAGAGTTCCTGAACAAGGAGTTTGGGTTGTGGCTGAAGAAGAATGGTATTCGGCACTCCCTCACCATGCCATACTCCCCTGCAATGAACGGCATCGCTGAGCGAGCGAACCGCACAATCACGGAGGCTGCACGCGGGTTGCTCATTGAAGCCGGGCTACCCGACTATTTCTGGCCTGATGCGGTGCGGAGCGCATGTGTGGCCAAGAACAGAGCCTTGAATCATGTGGGAGCAGACAAATGGGTGCCCTATGTGGAGTGGCTAGGAAGGAAGCCAAAGGTGGATATGCTTCGGGTGTTCGGGTGCATGTGCATGGCGCTTGTGCCTAAGCATCTTCGGCACAACAAGCTTGGTGCCAAGGCGGTGTGGGCCGTGCACTTGGGCATGGCTCAAAACAGCAAGGGATGGCTTCTTTGGGACCCATTCACCAAGAAGTTCTTGGTGAGCAGGGACTGCAAGTTCATGGAGAACTTCATGTACAAGGATTGGAAGGCGGAGAATGAGGCGGAGATAGGCGTGCGGTTTGGGGAGGTGAAGAGTTCCGGTTTGGAGCATGTGGAGCTGCCTTTGGAGCTGAGCAGCGGCAAAACAACCACGAGGCAATCCTCCCTTGTGAATGGGGGAGAGGAGGCCACTGATGCAGAGGAAGAAGAGGAGGAGGTGCAGCAAGTGAGCGAACGTGCACCGTCACTCCCTTCCCGTACCACGAGTGCTCCACGGAATCGAGCCACACCGCAGCAACGCCAAGGCCTTCAAGTCCCTGCAGCTGAGGAGGAAGGAAGGGGGAAGAGGAGAATTCAACCCCCTAATAGGCTGACCTATGATGCACTTGGAAAGCAAGGCAAGACAGCCCTGGCCAGGAGCGGCAATGATGGTCGGAGACGATGAGGAGAGTGACTACGAGGAGTGTGCCTTCGCGTTCTTCTCTCCGGTGGAGATGCCGGGAGAACCAGCAACTCTCAAGGAGGCTTTGGAGAGTAGTGATGCTGAGGAGTGGAAGAAGGCCATGGAGAGTGAGCTGAAGTGCATCGAGGAGAGTGACACGTTTGAATTGGTGGAGCTACCGGAGGGGCGTACGGCGATAACGTCCAAGTGGCTCTTCAAAATCAAGTCGGATGCCGACGGCAAGATCGAGCGTTACAAGTCTAGGCTTGTAGCCAAGGGGTACCAGCAGAAGGAGAAGGTGGACTTCAAGGAGCTGTTTGCCCCTGTGGTGAAGCCGAGGACGCTGCGAACCCTATTCGCGGGAGCCGCCATCAAAGGATGGGTGGTGAAGCAAATGGACATTATGACGGCATTCCTCAACGGCATCCTTGAGGAGGAGATTTTTATGGCGCAGCCAGAGGGGTTTGATGATGGTAGTGGCAGAGTGTGGGAGGCTTCATATGCTGTGTTGGTGGAGGCCCAACTGCTTGGGAGAGCAAGAAGCAGGTTGACCAAGCTTTGAGCTCGGTGGAGTCCGAGTACATGGCACTCTTCCGTGCCGTACGGGAGATTGTGTGGCAGCGGCGTTTGTTGGCTGAATTGGGGGAGGAGCAGCAAGGACCTACCCCACTATATTGTGACAGCCAGGGTGCCATTGCTCTTTCTAAGAACCCTGTGTTGCATGGACTCACGAAGCACATGAGGGTGAAGTGGCATTGGAGGAGGAGCATGGTAACCGCGGGTGAAGTTGAGTTGCGCTTACGTGAAGACCACGGGGCAGCCGGCTGACATGATGACCAAGAGGCTGGTGGAGCAGCAGCATTGGAAGTGTTGCAAGCTGGCTGGGATGGCTCTGAACTGACAGAGCAACATATCCTAAGGCCAACAATCCGAGGGGGAGTTTGTTGGTGCAACCCTATGGTTTGCACTCGGCTTGTTGTCCGTGTGCGTGCATGTGTGTGTGTCTATGAAATGGCATGAGGGCATGGGATAATATATATTTAATGCTTATAATTGTGTGTGAATGTTGAGTCATGATGTCGAGTGTATGTGTCGAGTCAATAGCGAGTTATGGCTAGACGCGTGTTACGCGGTCGTTTGTGTCTCGCGCGCGGTTTCTATTTTGTCGTGCGCGGTTTCTCTTTTGTCCTGTGTCGAACGTTCGATGTGTCGCAGGTGTGTGCAGCAGACCCATCAAGAACTCAAGGATGAGTTTGTGATGAAGAGCCGAGCCTTGGTGTCAATCCACAAGTGATTTCAAAGCTCGCCAAAAGGGTACACCTCAAGATATTGAAGATAGTTACATTACTTTGTGTAGTGTAACATTTCACTTGGTGTAGGCCCTAGTGAAGGGTAGTTTCGAGACCCTTCATGGTTGGGGACAGTGTGGCACTGTTCCACATCACTGTACCTCGGCTCTTGGGGTTTGTAGGAGCTGGGAGTTATTCCCAACTCGTAATTCTTCCTAACTTTTCCTATCTTGTGTTCTAAGACTATAGTGGCTGCCATAGTGCCGTTCGTTCAAACCGACCCTGTGTCGTCAATACTTGGTCAAATCGTGCGATCTAAATTGCCTATTATAGGCGACAATAAGACGCTCCAGATCCAAGTTGAATCAAGTCATTTGAAGCTGTGACCAAAACGCTATGAACGTTTGACGCCGCTGTGCAGAAATCCGACTGTGCACTCTATCTTTCGTTTTAGGCACATTGGAGCCTACTTCGACTATAACAGGGGTGATGGAAGGAGGTAGAATGAGGCGCGGTGATGGAAGGAGGGAGAATGGGGCAGGGTGATGGAAAGCGGGAGAATGGGGCGGGGTGATGGAAAGCGGGAGAATGGGGTGGGCTGATGGAAAGCGGGAGAATGGGGCAGGGTGATGGAAAGCGGGAGAATGGGGCGGGGTGATGGAAAGCGGGAGAATGAGGCGGGGTGATGGAAAGCGGGAGAATGGGGCGGGCCGATGGAAAGTGGGAGAATGGGGCGGGGCGATGGAAGGAGGGAGAATGGGGCGGGGTGATGGAAGGAGGGAGAATGGGGCGGGTGATGAAAGGAGGGAGAATGGGGCGGGGTTATGGAAAGCGGGAGAATGGGGCGGGGTGATGGAAAGCGGGAGAATGGGGCGGGGTGATGGAAGGAGGGAGAATAGGGCGGGATGATGGAAAGCAGGAGATTGGGGCAGGGTGATGGAAAGCGGGAAAATGGGGCGGGGTGATGGAAAGCGCGAGAATGGGGCTGGGTGATGGAAAGCAGGAGAATGGGGCGGGGTGATGGAAAGCGGGAGAATGGGGCGGGGTGATGGAAGGAGGGAGAATGAGGCGGGGTGATGGAAGGAGGGAGAATGGGGCGGGTTGATGGAAAGCGGGAGAATGGGGCGGGGTGATGGAAAGCGGGAGAATGGGGCGGAGTGATGGAAAGCGGGAGAATGGGGCGGGGTGATGGAAAGCGGGAGAATGGGGCGGGGTGATGGAAAGTGGGAGAACGGGGCGGGATGTTGGAAAGCGGGAGAATGGGGCGGGGTGATGAAAAGCGGGAGGATGGGGCGGGGAGATGGAAAGCGGGAGAACGGGGCGGGGTGATGGAAAGCGGGAGAATGGGGCGGGTTATGGAATGCGAGTGAATGGGGCGGGGTGATTGAAAAGCGGGAGAATGGGGCGGGTTGATGGAAAGCATAAGAATGGGGCGAGGTGATGGAAAGCGGGAGAATGGGGCGGGGTGACGGAAAGCGGGAGAATGGGGCAGGGTGATGGAAGGAGGGAGAATGGGGCGGGGTGATGGAAAGCGGGAGAATGGGGCGTGGTGATGGAAAGCGGGAGAATGGGGCGGGGTGATGGAAAGCGGGAGAATGGGGCGGGGTGATGGAAAGCGGGAGAATGGGGCGGGGTGATGGAAGGAGGTAGAATGAGGCGGGGTGATGGAAGGAGAAGAATGGGGCGGAATGATGGAAAGCGGGAGAATGGGGCGGGGTGATGGAAAGCGGGAGAATGGGGCAGAGTGATGGAAAGCGGGAGAATGGGGCGGGGTGATGGAAAGCGGGAGAATGGGGCGTGGTGATGGAAAGCGAGAGAATGGGGCGGGGTGATGGAAAGCGGGAGCATGGGGCGGGATGATGGAAAGCGGGAGAATGGGGCGGGGTGATGGAAAGAGGGAGAATGGGGCGCGATGATGGAAAGAGGGAGAATGGGGCGGGGTGATGGAACGCGGGAGAATGGGGCTGGGTGATGGAAAGAGGGAGAATGGGGAGGGGTGATGGAAAGAGGGAGAATTGGGTGGGGTGTTGGAACGCGGGAGAATGGAGCGGGGTGATGGAAAGCGGGAGAATGGGGCGGGGTGATGGAAAGCGGGAGAATGGGACGGGGTGATGGAAAGAGTGAAAATGGGGCGGGGTGATGGATTGGGGGAGAATGGGGCGGGGTGATGGAAAAAGGGAGAATGGGGCGGGGTGATGGAAAGCGGGAGAATGGGACGGGGTGATGGAAAGAGTGAAAATGGGGAGGGGTGATGGATTGGGGGAAAATGGGGCGGGGTGATGGAAAGAGGGAGAATGGGTCGGGGTGATGGAAAGAGGGAAAATTGGGCGGGGTGATGGAAAGCGGGAGAATGGGACGGGGTGATGGAAAGCAGTAGAATGGGGCGCGGTGATGGAAAGCGGGAGAATGGTGCGGGGTGATGGAAAGCGGGAGAATGGTGCGGGGTGATGGAAAGAGGGAGGATGGGGCGAGGTGATGGAAAGAGGGAGAATGGGGCGGGGTGATGGAAAGAGGGAGAATGGGGAGGGGTGATGGAAAGAGGGCGAATGGGGCGGGGTGATGGAAAGAGGGAGAACGGAGAGGGGTGATGGAAAGCAGGAGAATGGGGCGGTGTGATGGAAAGCGGGAGAATGGGGCGGGGTGATGGAAAGCGAGAGAATGGGGCGGGGTGATGGAAAGCGGGAGAAAGGGGCGGGGTGATGGAAAGCGGGAGAATGGGGCGGGGTGATGGAAAGCGGGAGAATGGGGCGGGGTGATGGAAAGCGGGAGTATGGGGCGGGGTGATGGAAAGCGGGAGAATGAGGCGTGGTGATGGAAAGCGGGAGAATGGGGCGGGGTGATGGAAAGAGGGAGAATGGGGTGGGGTGATGGAAGGAGGGAGAATGGGGCGGGTGATGGAAGGAGGGAGAATGGGGCGGGGTGATGGAAAGTGGGAGAATATGGCGGGGTGATGGAAAGCAGGAGAATGGGGCAGGGTTATGGAAAGCGGGAGAATGGGGCGGGGTGATGGAATGCGGGAGAATGGGGCGGGGTGATGGAAAGCGGGAGAATGGGGCGGGGTGATGGGAAGCGGGAGAATGGGGCGGGGTGATGGAAAGCGGGAGAATGGGGCGGGGTGATGGAAGGAGGGAGAATGAGGCGGGGTGATGGAAGGAGGGAGAATGGGGCGGGGTGATGGAAAGCGGGAGAATGGGGCGGGGTGATGGAAAGCGTGAGAATGGGGCGAGGTGATGGAAAGCGGGAGAATGGGGCGGGGTGATGGAAAGCGGGAGTGGGGTGGGGTGATGGAAAGCGTGAGAATGGGGCGGGGTGATGGAAAGCGGGTGAATTGGGCGGAGGTGATGGAGAGCGTGAGAATGGGGCGAGGTGATGGAAAGCGGGAGAATGGGGCGGGGTGACGGAGAGGAGCGGAATGGGGCGGGGTGATGGGAAAGCGGGTGAATGGGGCGGGGTGATGGAAAGCGTGAGAATGGGGCGGGGTTATGGAAAGCGGGAGAACGGGGCGGGGTGATGGAGAGCGGGAGAATGGGGCTGGGTGATGGAAAGCGGGAGAATGGGGCGGGCTGATGGAAAGCGGGAGAAAGGGGCGGGATGATGGAAGGAGGGAGAATGGGGCGGGGTGATGGAAGGAGGGAGAAGGGGGCGGGGTTATGGAAACCGGGAGAATGGGGCGGGGAGATGGAACGCAAGAGAATGGGGCGGGGTGATGGAAAGCGGGAGAATGGGGCAGGCTGATGGAAAGCGGGAGAAAGGGGCGGGGTGATGGAAGGAGGGAGAATGGGGCAGGGTGATGGAAGGAGGGAGAAGGGGGCGGGGTGATGGAAACCGGGAGAATGGGGCGGGGTGATGGAATGCGGGAGAATGGGGCGAGGTGATGGAAAGCGGGAGAATGGGGCGGGGTGATGGAATGCGGAAGAATGGGGTGGGGTGATGGAAAGCGGGAGAATGGGGCGGGGTGATGGAAGGAGGGAGAATGGGGCGGGGTGATGGAATGCGGGAGAATGGGGCGGGGTGATGGAAAGCGGGGGAATGGGGCGGGGTGATGGAAGGAGGGAGAATGGGGCGGGGTGATGGAAAGAGGGAGAATGGGGCGGGTTGATGGAAAGCGGGAGAATGGGACGGGGAGATGGAAAGAGTGAAAATGGGGAGGGGTGATGGATTGGGGGAGAATGGGGCGGGGTGATGGAAAGAGGGAGAATGGGTCGGGGTGATGGAAAGAGGGAAAATTGGGCGGGGTGATGGAAAGCGGGAGAATGGGACGGGGTGATGGAAAGCAGTAGAATGGGGCGCGGTGATGGAAAGCGGGAGAATGGTGCGGGGTGATGGAAAGCGGGAGAATGGTGCGGGGTGATGGAAAGAGGGAGGATGGGGCGAGGTGATGGAAAGAGGGAGAATGGGGCAGGGTGATGGAAAGAGGGAGAATGGGGAGGGGTGATGGAAAGAGGGCGAATGGGGCGTGGTGATGGAAAGAGGGAGAACGGAGAGGGGTGATGGAAAGCAGGAGAATGGGGCGGTGTGATGGAAAGCGGGAGAATGGGGCGGGGTGATGGAAAGCGAGAGAATGGGGCGGGGTGATGGAAAGCGGGAGAAAGGGGCGGGGTGATGGAAAGCGGGAGAATGGGGCGGGGTGATGGAAAGCGGGAGAATGGGGCGGGGTGATGGAAAGCGGGAGTATGGGGCGGGGTGATGGAAAGCGGGAGAATGAGGCGTGGTGATGGAAAGCGGGAGAATGGGGCGGGGTGATGGAAGGAGGGAGAATGGGGTGGGATGATGGAAGGAGGGAGAATGGGGCGGGTGATGGAAGGAGGGAGAATGGGGCGGGGTGATGGAAAGTGGGAGAATATGGCGGGGTGATGGTAAGCAGGAGAATGGGGCGGGGTTATGGAAAGCGGGAGAATGGGGCGGGGTGATGGAATGCGGGAGAATGGGGCGGGGTGATGGAAAGCGGGAGAATGGGGCGGGGTGATGGGAAGCGGGAGAATGGGGCGGGGTGATGGAAAGCGGGAGAATAGGGCGGGGTGATGGAAGGAGGGAGAAGGGGGCGGGGTGATGGAAGGAGGGAGAAGGGGGTGGGGTTATGGAAACCGGGAGAATGGGGCGGGGAGATGGAACGCAGGAGAATGGGGCGGGGTGATGGAAAGCGGGAGAATGGGGCAGGCTGATTGAAAGCGGGAGAAAGGGGCGGGGTGATGGAAGGAGGGAGAATGGGGCAGGGTGATGGAAGGAGGGAGAAGGGGGCGGGGTGATGGAAACCGGGAGAATGGGGCGGGGTGATGGAATGCGGGAGAATGGGGCGAGGTGATGGAAAGCGGGAGAATGGGGCGGGGTGATGGAATGCGGAAGAATGGGGTGGGGTGATGGAAAGCGGGAGAATGGGGCGGGGTGATGGAAGGAGGGAGAATGGGGCGGGGTGATGGAATGCGGGAGAATGGGGCGGGGTGATGGAAAGCGGGGGAATGGGGCGGGGTGATGGAAGGAGGGAGAATGGGGCGGGGTGATGGAAAGAGGGAGAATGGGGCGGGTTGATGGAAAGCGGGAGAATGGGACGGGGTGATGGAAAGAGTGAAAATGGGTAGGGGTGATGGATTGGGGGAGAATGGGGCGGGGTGATGGAAAGAGGGAGAATGGGTCGGGGTGATGGAAAGAGGGAAAATTGGGCGGGGTGATGGAAAGCGGGAGAATGGGACGGTGTGATGGAAAGCAGTAGAATGGGGTGCGGTGATGGAAAGCGGGAGAATGGTGCGGGGTGATGGAAAGCGGGAGAATGGTGCGGGGTGATGGAAAGAGGGAGGATGGGGCGAGGTGATGGAAAGAGGGAGAATGGGGCGGGGTGATGGAAAGAGGGAGAATGGGGAGGGGTGATGGAAAAGAGGGCGAATGGGGCGGGGTGATGGAAAGAGGGAGAACGGAGAGGGGTGATGGAAAGCAGGAGAATGGGGCGGTGTGATGGAAAGCGGGAGAATGGGGCGGGGTGATGGAAAGCGAGAGAATGGGGCGGGGTGATGGAAAGCGGGAGAAAGGGGCGGGGTGATGGAAAGCGGGAGAATGGGGCGGGGTGATGGAAAGCGGGAGAATGGGGCGGGGTGATGGAAAGCGGGAGTATGGGGCGGGGTGATGGAAAGCGGGAGAATGAGGCGTGGTGATGGAAAGCGGGAGAATGGGGCGGGGTGATGGAAGGAGGGAGAATGGGGTGGGATGATGGAAGGAGGGAGAATGGGGCGGGTGATGGAAGGAGGGAGAATGGGGCGGGGTGATGGAAAGTGGGAGAATATGGCGGGGTGATGGTAAGCAGGAGAATAGGGCGGGGTTATGGAAAGCGGGAGAATGGGGCGGGGTGATGGAATGCGGGAGAATGGGGCGGGGTGATGGAAAGCGGGAGAATGGGGCGGGGTGATGGGAAGCGGGAGAATGGGGCGGGGTGATGGAAAGCGGGAGAATGGGGCGGGGTGATGGAAGGAGGGAGAATGAGGCGGGGTGATGGAAGGAGGGAGAATGGGGCGGGGTGATGGAAAGCGGGAGAATGGGGCGGGGTGATGGAAAGCGTGAGAATGGGGCGAGGTGATGGAAAGCGGGAGAATGGGGCGGGGTGATGGAAAGCGGGAGTGGGGTGGGGTGATGGAAAGCGTGAGAATGGGGCGGGGTGATGGAAAGCGGGTGAATTGGGCGGGGTGATGGAGAGCGTGAGAATGGGGCGAGGTGATGGAAAGCGGGAGAATGGGGCGGGGTGACGGAGAGGAGCGGAATGGGGCGGGGTGATGGAAAGCGGGTGAATGGGGCGGGGTGATGGAAAGCGTGAGAATGGGGCGGGGTTATGGAAAGCGGGAGAACGGGGCGGGGTGATGGAGAGCGGGAGAATGGGGCTGGGTGATGGAAAGCGGGAGAATGGGGCGGGGTGATGGAAAGCGGGAGTGGGGTGGGGTGATGGAAAGCGTGAGAATGGGGCGGGGTGATGGAAAGCGGGTGAATTGGGCGGGGTGATGGAGAGCGTGAGAATGGGGCGAGGTGATGGAAAGCGGGAGAATGGGGCGGGGTGACGGAGAGGAGCGGAATGGGGCGGGGTGATGGAAAGCGGGTGAATGGGGCGGGGTGATGGAAAGCGTGAGAATGGGGCGGGGTTATGGAAAGCGGGAGAACGGGGCGGGGTGATGGAGAGCGGGAGAATGGGGCTGGGTGATGGAAAGCGGGAGAATGGGGCGGGCTGATGGAAAGCGGGAGAAAGGGGCGGGATGATGGAAGGAGGGAGAATGGGGCGGGGTGATGGAAGGAGGGAGAAGGGGGCGGGGTTATGGAAACCGGGAGAATGGGGCGGGGAGATGGAACGCGGGAGAATGGGGCGGGGTGATGGAAAGCGGGAGAATGGGGCAGGCTGATGGAAAGCGGGAGAAAGGGGCGGGGTGATGGAAGGAGGGAGAATGGGGCAGGGTGATGGAAGGAGGGAGAAGGGGGCGGGGTGATGGAAACCGGGAGAATGGGGCGGGGTGATGGAATGCGGGAGAATGGGGCGAGGTGATGGAAAGCGGGAGAATGGGGCGGGGTGATGGAATGCGGAAGAATGGGGTGGGGTGATGGAAAGCGGGAGAATGGGGCAGGGGTTATGGAAGGAGGGAGAATGGGGCGGGGTGATGGAATGCGGGAGAATGGGGCGGGGTGATGGAAAGCGGGGGAATGGGGCGGGGTGATGGAAGGAGGGAGAATGGGGCGGGGTGATGGAAAGTGGAAGAATGTGGTGGGGTGATGGAAAGCGGTAGAATGGGGCGGGGTGATAGAAGGAGGGAGAATGGGGCGGGGTGATGGAAAGAGGGAGAATAGGGCGGGGTGATGGAAAGCGGGGGAATGGGGCTGGATGATGGAAAGCGGGAGAATGGGTCGGGGTGACGAAAAGAGGGAGAATGGGGCAGGGTGACGGAAATCGAGAGAATTGGGCGGGGTGATGGAAAGTGGGAGAATGGGTCGGGGTGATGGAAAGCGGGAGAATGGGGCGGGGTGATGGAAGGAGGGAGAATGGGGCGGAGTGATGGAAAGCGGGAGAATGGGGTGGGGTGATTGAAAGCGGGAGAATGGGGCGGGGTGATTGAAAGCGGGAGAATGGGGAGGGGTGAAGGAAAGCGGGAGAATGGGGCGGGGTGATGGAAAGCGGGAGAATGGGGTGGGGTGATGGAAAGCGGGAGAATGGGGCGGGGTGATGGAAAGCGGGAGAATAGGGTGGGGTGATGGAAAGCGGGAGACTGGGGTGGGGTGATGGAAAGCGGGAGAATGGGGCAGGTGATGGAAAGCAGGAGAATGGGGCGGGGTGATGGAAAGCGGGAGAATGGGTCGGGGTGATGGAAAGCGGGAGAATGGGGCGAGGTGATGGAAAGCGGGAGAATGGGGTGGGGTGATGGAAGGAGGGAGAATGGGGCAGGGTGATGAAAAGCGGGAGAATGGGGCGAGATGATGGGAAGCGGGAAAATGGGGCGAGGTAATGAAAAGCGGGAGAATGGTGCGGGGTGATGGAAAGCGGGAGAATGGGCGTGTGATGGAAAGCGGAGAATGGGGCGGGGTGATGGAAAGCGGGAGAATGGGGCGAGGTGATGGAAAGCGGGAGAGTAAGGCGGGGTGATGGAAAGCGGGAGAATGGGGTGGGGTGATGGAAATTGGGAGAATAGGGTGGGGTGATGGATGGAGGGAGAATGGGGCGGGGTCATGGAAGGAGGGAGAATGGGGCGGGGTGATGGAAAGCAGGAGAATGGGGAGGGGTGATGGAAAGCGGGCGAATGGTGCGGGGTGATGGAGAGCAGGAGAATAAGGCGGGGTGATGGAAAGCGGGAGAATGGGGTGGGGTGATGGAAGGAGGGAGAATCGGGCAGGGTGATGGAAAGCGGGAGAATGGGGCAGGTTGATGGAAAGCGGGAGAATGGGGCAGGGTGATGGAAAGCGGGAGAAAGGGGCGAGGTGATGGAAAGTGGTAGAATGGGGCGGGGTGATGGAAAGCGGGAGAATGGGGCGGGGTGATGGAAAGAGGGAGAATGGGGACGGGTGATAGAAAGCGGGAGAATGGGGCGGGTTGATGGGAATCGGGAGAATGGGGCGAGGTAATGAAAAGCGGGAGAATGGTGCGGGGTGATGGAAAGCGGGAGAATGGGGCGGCTGATGGAAAGCTGGAGAATGGGGCGGGGTGATGGAAAGCGGGAATATGGGGTGGGGTGATGGAAAGCGGGAGAATGGGGTGGGGTGATGGAAAGAGGGAGAATGGGGCGGGGTGATGGGAAGCAGGAGGATGGGGCGGGTTATGGAAAGCTAGAGAATGGGGCGGGGTGATGGAAAGCGGTGGAATGGGGCGGGCTGATAGAAAGCGGGAAAATGGGGCGAGGTGATGGAAGGAGCGAGAATGGGGCGGGATGATGGAAGGAGGGAGAATGGGGCAGGGCGATGGAAGGAGGGAGAATGGGGCGGGCTGATGGAAAGTGGGAGAATGTGGCTGGGTGATGGAAAGTGGGAGAATGGGGCGGGGTGATGGAAAGCGGGAGAATGAGGCGGGGTGATGGAAGGAGGGAGAATGGGGCGGGGTGATGGAAAGCGGGAGAATGGGGCGGGGTGATGGAAAGCGGGAGAATGGGCCGGGGTGATGGGAAGCGGGAGAATGGGCAGGGTGATGGAAAGCGGGAGAATGGGGCGGGGTGATGAAAAGCGGGAGAATGGGGTGGAGTGATGGAAAGCGGGAGAATGGGGCGGGGTGATGGAAAGCGGGAGAATGGGGAGGGGTGATGGAAATCGGGAGAAGGGGGCGGGGTGATGGAAACAGGGAGAATGGGGCGGGGTGATGGAAAGAGGGAGAATGGGGCGGGGTGATGGAAAGCGGGAGAATGGGGCGGGGTGATGGTAAGCGGGAGAACGGGGCGGGGTGATGGAAAGAGGGAGAATGGGGCGCGGTGATGGAAAGCGGGAGAATGTGGCGGGTTGATGGAAAGGGGGAGAATGGGTCGGGGTGATGGAAAGCGGGAGAACGGAGCAGGGTGATGGAAAGCGGGAGAACGGGGCGGGGTGATGGAAAGAGGGAGAATGGGGCGGGGTGATGGAAAGCGGGAGAATGGGGCCGGGTGATGGAAACCGGGAGAATGGGGCGGGGTGATGGAAAGCGGAAGAATGGGGCGGGTTGATGGAAAGCGGGAGAATGGGGCGGGGTGATGGAAAGCGGGAGAATAGGGCGGGGTGATGGAAAGAGGGAGAATAGGGAGGGGTGATGGAAAGAGGGAGAATAGGGCGGGGTGATGGAAAGCGGGAGAATGGAGCGGGGTGATGGAAAGAGGGAGAATGGGACGGGGTGATGGAAAGCGGGAGAATGGGGCGGGGTGATGAAAAGCGGGAGAATGGGGCGGGGTGATGGAAAGTGAGAGAATGGGGCGGGGTGATGGAATGAGGGAGAATGGGGCGGGGTGATGGAAAGCAGGAGAATGGGGCGGGGTGATGGAAAGCGGGAAAATGGGGCGGGGTGATGGAAAGCGGGAGAACTGGGCGGGGTGATGGAAAGCGAGAGAATGGGGCGGGGTGTTTGAAAGAGGGAGAATGGGGCGGGGTGATGGAAAGCGGGAGAATGGGGCGGGGTGATGGAAAGAGGGAGAATGGTGCGGGGTGATGGAAAGAGGGGAGGATGGGGTGGGGTGATGGAACGCAAAAGAATGGGGCGGGGTGATGGAAAGCGGTAGAATGGGACGGGGTGATGGAAAGCGGGATAATTGGGTGGGGTGATGGATAGAGGGAGAATGGGGAAGGGTGATGGAAAGAGGGAGAATGGGGCGGGGTGATGGAAAGCTGGAGAATGGGGCGGGGTGATGGAAAGCAAGAGAATGGGGCGGGGTGATGGAAAGCGGGAGAATGGGGCGGGGTGATGGAAAGAGGCGAAAGAATGGGGCGGGGTGAAGGAAAGCGGGAGAATGGGGCGGGTGATCGAAAGAGGGAGAATGGGGCGGGGTGATGGAAAGCGGGAGAATGGGTCGGGTTGATGGAAAGCGGGAGATTGGGGCGGGGTGATGGAAAGTTGGAGAATGGGGCGGGGTGATGGAAAGCGGGAGAATGGGGCGGGGTGATGGAAAGCGGGAGAATGGGGCGGAGTGATGGAAAGCGGGAGAATGGGGCGGGGTGATGGAAAGAGGCGAGAGAATGGGGCGGGGTGATGGAAATCGGGAGAATGGGGCGGGGTGATGGAAAGAGGGAGAATGGGGCGGGGTGATAGAAAGAGGTAGAGTGGGGCAGAGTGATGGAAAGCGAGAGAATGGGGCAGGGTGATGGAAACCGGGAGAATGGGGCGGGGTGATGGAAACCGGGAGAATGGGGCGGGGTGATGGAAAGCGGGAGAATGGGGCGGGGTGATGGAAATCGGGAGAATGGGGCGGGGTGATGGAAAGCGGGAGAATGGGGCGGGGTGATGGAAAGAGGGAGAATGGGGCGGGGTGATGGAAAGAGGGAGAATGGGGCGGGGTGATGGAAAGCAGGAGAATGGGGCGCGGTGATGGAATGCTGGAGAATGGGGCGGGGTGATGGAAAGTGGGAGAATGGGGCGGGGTGATGGGAAGCGGGAGAATGGGGGCGGGGTGATGGAAAGCGGGAGAATGGGGCGCGGTGATGGAAAGCGGGAGAATGGGGCGGGGTGATGGAAAGAGGCGGGAGAATGGGACGGGGTGATGGAAAGCAGGAGAATGGGGTGGGGAGATGGAAAGCGGGAGAATGGGGCGGGGTGATGGAAAGAGGGAGAATGGGGCGGGGTGATGGAAAGCGGGAGAATGGGGCGGGGTGATGGGAAGCAGGAGAATGGGGCGGGGTGATGGAAAGAGGGAGAATGGGGAGGGGTGATGGAAAGCGGGAGAATGGGGCGGGGTGATGGAAAGCGGGAGAATGGGGCGGGGTGATGCAAAGCGGGAGAATGGGGCGGGGTGATGGAAAGCGGGAGAATGGGGCGGGGTGATGGAAAGCGGGAGAATGGGGCGGGTGATGGAAAGCGGGAGAATGGGGCGGGGTGATGGAAAGCGGGAGAATAGGGCGGGGTGATGGAAAGAGGGAGAATAGGGAGGGGTGATGGAAAGAGGGAGAATAGGGCAGGGTGATGGAAAGCGGGAGAATGGAGCGGGGTGATGGAAAGAGGGAGAATGGGACGGGGTGATGGAAAGCGGGAGAATGGGGCGGGGTGATGAAAAGCAGGAGAATGGGGCGGGGTGATGGAAAGCGGGAGAATGGGACGGGGTGATGGAAAGCGGGAGAATAGGGCGGGGTGATGGAAAGAGGGAGAATGGGGAGGGTTGATGGAAAGAGGGAGAATTGGGCGGGGTGATGGAAAGGGGGAGAATGGAGGGGGATGATGGAAGCGGGAGAATGGGGGCGGGGTGATAGAAAGCGGGAGAATGGGGAAGGGTGATGGAAAGAGGGAGAATGGGGCGGGGTGATAGAAAGAGGGAGAATGGGGAGGGGTGATGGAAAACGGGAGAATGGGGCGGGGTGATTGAGAGCGGGAGAATGGGGCGGGGTGATGGAAAGGGACACCGCGACAGCCGACGAAGCGGCGTGAATGTGGTGCAGTCGCGAAAGAAGGAGCGAGAGGCCCCAGAGTCAAGAGTGAAGGTGAGGGAGGCCGAAGCCGGCGCAGTACCTGAAAGCGCAGACTCACCAGTACCTGAGAGCGCAGACTCACCAGTACCTGAGGAAGCAGACGTGGGAGAATGGGGCGGGGTGATGGAAAGCGGGAGAATGGGGCGGGGTGATGGAAAGCGGGAGAATGGAGCGGGGTGATGGAAAGAGGGAGAACAGGGCGGGGTGATGGAAAGCGGGAGAATGGGGCGGGGTGATGGAAAGCGGGAGAATGGGGCGGGGTGATAGAAAGCGGGAGAATGGGGCGGGGTGATGGAAAGCGGGAGAATAGGGCGGGGTGATGAAAAGCAAGTGAATGGGGCAAGGTGATGGAAAGCGGGTGAATGGGACAGGGTGATGGAAAGCGGGAGAATGGGGCGGGGTGATGGATAGAGGGAGAATGGGGCGGGGGTGATGGAAAGCGGGAGAATGGAGCGGGGTGATGGAAAGTTGGAGAAATGGGCGGAGTGATGGAAAGCGGGAGAATGGGGCGCGGTTATGGAAAGAGGAAGAATGGGGCTGGGTGATGGAAAGCGGGAGAGTGGGGCGGGGTGATGGAAAGCGGGAGAATGTGGCGCGGTGATGGAAAGAGGGAAAATGGGGCGGGGTGATCGAAAGCGGGAGAATGGGGCGGGGTGATGGAAAGAGGGAGAATAGGGCGGGGTGATGGAAAGCGGGAGAATGGGGCGGGGTGATGGAAAGCGGGAGAATGGGGCGGGGTGATGGAAAGCGGGAGAATGGGGCGAGGTGATGGAAAGCGGGAGAATGGGGCAGGGTGATTGAAAGCGGGAGACCAGGGTCGGGTGATGGAAAGAGGGAGAATGGGGCGGGGTGATGGAAAGAGGGAGAATGGGGAGGGGTGATGGAAAACGGGAGAATGGGGAGGGGTGATTGAGAGCAGGAGACTGGGGCGGGGTGATGGAAAGCGGGAGAACGGGGTGGGGTGATGGAAAGAGGGAGAAAGGGGCGGGTTGATGGAAAGCGAGAGAATGGGCGGGGTGATGGAAAGCGGGAGAATGGGGCGGGGTGATGGAAAGAAGGAGAATGGGGCGGGGTGATGGAAAGCGGGAGAATGGGGCGGGGTGATGGAAAGCGGGAGAATGGGGCGGGGTGATGGAAAGAGGGAGAATGGGGAGGGGTGATAGAAAGAGGGAGAATTGGGCGGGGTGATGGAAAGCGGGAGAATAGAGCGGGGTGATGGAAAGCGTGAGAATGGGGCGGGGTGAAGGAAAGTGGGAGAATGGGGCGGGGTGATGGAAAGAGGGAGAATGGGGCGGGGTGATGGAAGGCGGGAGAACGGGGCGGGCTGATGGAAAGAGGGAGAATGGGGCGGGGTGATGGAAAGCGGGAGAATGGGGCGGGGTGATGGAAAGCGGGAGAATGGAGCGGGGTGATGGAAAGAGGGAGAATGGGGCAGGGTGATGGAAGGCGGGAGAATGGGGCGCGGTGATGGAAAGAGGGAGAATGGGGCGGGGTGATGGAAAGAGGGAGAATGGGGCGAGGTGATGGAAAGCGGGAGATTGGGGCGGGGTGATGGAAAGAGGGAGAATGGGGCGGGGTGATGGAAAGCAGGAGAATGGGGCGGGGTGTTGGAAAGAGGGAGAATGGGGCGGGGTGATGAGAAGAGGGAGAACGGGGCGGGGTGATGGAAAGGGGGAGAATGGGGCGGGGTGATGGAATGCGGGAGAACGAAGCGGGGTGATGGAAAGCGGTAGAACGGGGCGAGGTGATAGAAAGCGGGAGAACGGGGCGGGGTAATGGAAAGTGGGAGAACGGGGCGGGGTGATGGAAAGCGGGAGAATGGGGCGGGGTGATGGAAAGCGGGAGAATGGGGCGAAGTAAGGGAAAGCGGGAGACTGGGGCGGGTGATGGAAAGCGGGAGAATGGGGCGGGGTGATGGAAAGCAGGAGAATGGGGCGGTGTGATAGAAAGCGGGAGAATGGGGCGGGGTGATGGAAAGCGGGAGAATGGGGCGGGGTGATGGAAAGCAAGAGAATGGGGCAACGTGATGAAAAGCAGGAGAATGGGACAGGGTGATGGAAAGCGGGAGAATGGGGCGGGGTGATGGATAGAGGGAGAATGGGGCGGGGTGAATGAAAGAGGGAGAATGGGGCGGGGGTGATGGAAAGCGGGAGAATGGAGCGGGGTGATGGAAAGCTGGAGAATGGGGCGGAGTGATGGAAAGCGGGAGAATGGGGCGGGGTTATGGAAAGAGGAAGAATGGGGTTGGGTGATGGAAAGCGGGAGAGTGGGGCGGGGTGATGGAAAGCGGGGAGAATGTGGCGCAGTGATGGAAAGAGGGAAAACGGGGCGGGGTGATGGAAAGCGGGAGAATGGGGCGGGGTGATGGAAAGAGGGAGAATAGGGCGGGGTGATGGAAAGCGGAGAAGCGGGAGAATGGGGCGGGGTAATAAAAAGTGGGAGAACGGGGCGGCTGATGGAAAGCGGGAGAATGGGGCGGGGTGATGGAAAGCAAGAGAATGGGGCGGGTGATCGAAAGCGGGAGAATGGGGGCGGGGTGATGGAAAGAGGAGAATGGGGCGGGGTGATGGAAAGCGGGAGAATGGGGCGGGGTGATTGAAATCGGGAGAACAGGGACGGGTGATGGAAAGAGGGAGAATGGAGCGGGGTGATGGAAAGAGGGAGAATGGGGAGGGGTGATGGAAAACGGGAGAATGGGGCGGGGTGATTGAGAGCGGGAGACTGGGGCGGGGTGATAGGAAAGGGGGAGAATGGGGCGGGGTGATGGAAAGCGAGAGAACGAAGCGGGGTGATGGAAAGCGGTAGAACGGGGCGAGGTGATGGAAAGCGGGAGAACGGGGCGGGGTGATGAAAAGTGGGAGAAAGGGGCGGGGTGATGGAAAGCGGGAGAATGGGGCGAAGTAAGGGAAAGCGGGAGACTGGGGCCGGGTGATAGAAATCGGGAGAATGAGGCGGGGTGATGGAAAGCGGAAGAATGGGGCAGGGTGATGGAAAGCGGGAGAATGGGGTGGGGTGATGGAAAGCGGGAGAATGGGGCGGGGTGATGGAAAGCGGGAGAATGGGGCGGGGTGATGGAAAGAGGGAGAATGGGGAGGGGTGATGGAAACAGGGAGAATGGGGCGAGGTGGTGGAAAGAGGGAGAATGGGGCGGGGTGATGGAAAGCGGGAGAATGGGCAGGGTAATGGAAAGAGGGAGAATGGGGCGGGGTGATGGAAAGCAGGAGAATGGGGCCGGGTGATAGAAAGAGGGAGAATGGAGAGGGGTGATGAAAAGAGGGGGAATTGGGCGGGGTGATGGAAAGCGGGAGAATGGAGCGGGTGATGGAAAGAGGGAGAATGGGGAGGGGTGATGGAAAACGGGTGAATGGGGCGGGGTGATTGAGAGCGGGAGACTGGTGCTGGGTGATGGAAAGCGGGAGAACGGGGCGGGGTGATGGAAAGCGGGAGAACGGGGCGAGGTGATGGAAAGCGGGAGAACGGGGCGGGGTGATGGAAGGCGGGAGAACGGGGCGCGATGATGGAAAGCGGGAAAATGGGGCGGGGTGAAAGAAAGCGGGAGAACGGGGCGGGGTGATGGATAGCGGGAGAATGGGGCGGGGTGATGGAAAGCGTGAGAATGGGGCGGGGTGATGGAAACAGGGAGAATGGGGCGGGGTGATGGAAACAGGGAGCATGGGGCGGGGTGATAGAAAGAGGGAGAATGGGGCGGGGTGATGGAAAGAGGGAGAATGGGGCGGGTGAAGGAAAGCGGGAGAATGGGGCGGGGTGATGGAAGAGGGAGAATGTTGAGGGGTGATAAAAATAGGGAGAATTGGGCGGGGTGATGGAAAGCGGGAGAATGGAGCGGGGTGATGGAAAGCGGGAGAATGGGGCGGGGTGATGGAAAGCGGGAGAATGGGACGGGGTGATGGAAAGAGTGAAAATGGGGCGGGGTGATGGAAATAGGGAGAATGGGGCGGGGTGATGGAAAGAGGGAGAATGGGGCGGGGTGATGGAAAGCGGGAGAATGGGACGGGGTGATGGAAAGAGTGAAAATGGGGAGGGGTGATGGATTGGGGGAGAATGAGGCGGGGTGATGGAAAGAGGGAGAATGGGTCAGGGTGATGGAAAGAGGGAAAATTGGGCGGGTGATGGAAAGCAGGAGAATGGGACGGGGTGATGGAAAGCAGTAGAATGGGGCGGGGTGATGGAAAGCAGTAGAATGGTGCGGGGTGATGGAAAGCGGGAGAATGGTGCCGGGTGATGGAAAGAGGGAGAATGGGGAGGGGTGATGGAAAGAGGGAGAATGGGGCGGGGTGATGGAAAGAGGGAGAATGGAGAGGGGTGATGGAAAGAGGGAGAATTGGGCGGGGTGATGGAAAGCGGGAGAATAAAGCAGGGTGATGGAAAGCGGGAGAATGGGGCGGTGTGATAGAAAGCGGGAGAATGGGGCGGGGTGATGGAAAGCGAGAGAATGGGGCAGGGTGATGGAAAGAGGGAGAATGGGGCGCGGTGATGGAAAGAGGGAGAATGAGGCGGGGTGATGGAAAGCGGGAGAATGGGGCTGGATGATGGAAAGAGGGAGAATGGGAAGGGGTGATGGAAAGAGGGAGAATTGGGCGGGGTGTTGGAAAGCGGGAGAATGGAGCGGGGTGATGGAAAGCGGGAGAATGGGGCGGGGTGATGGATAGCGGGAGAATGGGACCGGGTGATGGAAAGAGTGAAAATGGGGCGGGGTGATGGATTGGGGGAGAATGGGGCGGGGTGATGGAAAGAGGGAGAATGGGGCGGGGTTGATGGAAAGAGGGGAAAATTGGGCGTGGTGATGGAAAGCGGGAGAATGGAGTGGGGTGATGGAAAGCGGGAGAATGGGACGGGGTGATGGAAAGCACTAGAATGGGGCGGGGTGATGGAAAGCGGGAGAATGGTGCGGGGTGATGGAAAGAGGGAGGATCGGGCGAGGTGATGGAAAGAGGGAGAATGGGGCGGGGTGATGGAAAGCGGGAGAATGGGGCGGGGTGATGGAAAGAGGGAGAATGGGGAGGGGTGATGGAAAGAGGGAGAATTGGGCAGGGTGATGGGAAGCGGAAGAATGGAGCAGGGTGATGGACAGCAGTAGAATGGGGCGGGGTGATGGAAAGAGGGAGGATCGGGCGAGGTGATGGAAAGCGGGAGAATGGGGCGGGGTGATGGAAAGAGGGAAAATGGCGCAGGGTGATGGAAAGCGGGAGAATGGGGCGGGTTGATGGAAAGAGGGAGAATGGGGCGGGGTGATGGAAAGAAGGAGAATGGGGCGGGGTGATGGAAAGCTGGAGAATGGGGCGGGGTGATGGAAAGAGGGAGAATGGGGCGGGGTGATGGAAAGAGGGAGAATGGGGCGGGGTGATGGAAAAAGGGAGAATGGGGAGGGGTGATGGAAAGAGTGAGAATTGGGCGGGGTGATGGAAAGCGGGACAATGGAGCGGGATGATGGAAAGCGAGAGAATGGGGTGGGGTGATGGAAAGCGGGAGAATGGGGCGGGGTGATGGAAAGAGGGAAAATGGCGCGGGGTGATGGAAAGCGGGAGAATGGGGCGGGTTGATGGAAAGAGGGAGAATGGGGCGGGGTGATGGAAAGAAGGAGAATGGGGCGAGGTGATGGAAAGCGGGAAGAATGGGGCGGGGTGATGGAAAGAGGGAGAATGATGCGGGGTGATGGAAGAGGGAGAATTGGGCGGGTTGATGGAAGGCGGGAGAGTGGGGCGGGGTGATGGAAAGAGGGAGAATGGGGCGGCGTGATGGAAAGCGGGAGAATGGGGCGGGGTGATGGAAAAAAGGAGGATGGGGAGGGGTGATGGAAAGAGGGAGAATTGGGCGGGGTGATGGAAAGCGGGACAATGGAGCGGGATGATGGAAAGCGAGAGAATGGGGCGGGGTGATGGAAAGCGGGAGAATGGGGCGGGGTGATGGAAAGAGGGAAAATGGCGCGGGGTGCTGGAAAGCGGGAGAATGGGGCGGGGTGATGGAAAGAGGGAGAATGGGGCGGGGTGATGGAAAGAGGGAGAATGGGGCGGGGTGATGGAAAGCGGGAGAATGGGGCGGGGTGATGGAAAGAGGGAGAATGGGGCGGGGTGATGGAAAGAGGGAGAATTGGGCGGGGTGATGGAAGGCGGGAGAGTGGGGCGGGGTGATGGAAAGAGGGAGAATGGGGCGGGGTGATGGAAAGAGGGAGAATGGGGCGGGGTGATGGAAATTGGGAGAATGGGGCGGGGGTGATGGAAATCGGGAGAATGGGGCGGGGTGATGGAAAGAGGAAGAATGGGGCGGGGTGATGGAAAGAGGGAGAATGGGGCGGGGTGGTGGAAAGCGGGAGAATGGGGCGGGATGATGGAAAGCGGGAGAATGGGGCGGGGTGATGGAAATCGGGAGCATGGGGCGGGGTGATGGAAAAAGGGAGAATGGGGCGGGGTGATGGAAAGCGGGAGAATGGGGCGGGGTGATGGAAAGCGGGAGAATGGGGCGGGGCGATGGAAAGCGGGAGAATGGGGCGGGGTGATGGAAAGCGAGAGAATGGGGCGGGGTGATGGAAAGTGGGAGAATAGGGAGGGTTGATGGAAAGAGGGAGAATTGGGCGGGGTGATGGAAAGCGGGAGAATGGAGCGGGGTGATGGAAAGCGAGAGAATGGGGCGGGGTGATGGAAAAAGGGAGAATGGGGAGGGGTGATGGAAAGAGTGAGAATTGGGCGGGGTGATGGAAAGCAGGACAATGGAGCGGGATGATGGAAGCGAGAGAATGGGGCGGGGTGATGCAAAGTGGGAGAATGGGGCGGGGTGATGGAAAGAGGGAAAATGGCGCGGGGTGATGGAAAGCGGGAGAATGGGGCGGGGTGATGGAAAGAGGGAGAATGGGGCGGGGTGATGGAAAGAAGGAGAATGGGGCGGGGTGATGGAAAGCGGGAGAATGGGGCGGGGTGATGGAAAGCGGGAGAATGGGACGGGGTGATGGAAAGAGGGAGAATGGGGCGGGGTGATGGAAAGCGGGAGAATGGGGCGGGGTGATGGAAAGCGAGAGAATGGGGCGGGGTGATGGAAAGCGGGAGAATGGGGCGGGGTGATGGAAAGAGGGAGAATGGGGAGAGGTGATGGAAAGAGGGAGAATTGGGCGGGTCGATGGAAAGCGGGAGAATGGAGCGGGGTGATGGAAAGCGGGAGAATGGGGCGGGGTGATGGAAAGCGGGAGAATGGGGCGGGGTGATGGAAAAGGGAGAATGGGGCGGGGGTGATGGAAAGCGGGAGAATGGGGCGGGGTGATGGAAGGAGGGAGAATGGGGCGGGGTGATGGAAGGAGGGAGAATGGGGCGGAGTGATGGAAAGCGGGAGAATGGGGCGGGGTGATGGAAGGAGGGAGAATGGGGCGGGATGATGGAATGCGGGAGAATGGGGCGGGGTGATAGAAAGCGGGAGAATGGGGCGGGGTGATGGAAAGCGGGAGAATGGGGCGGGGTGACGGAAATCGGGAGAATGGGGCGGGGTGATGGAAAGCGGGAGAATGGGGCGGGGTGATAGAAAACGGGAAAATGTGGTGGGGTGATGGAAAGCGGGAGAATGGGGTGGGGTTATGGGAAGCGGGAGAGTGGGGCGGGGTGATGGAAAGCGGGAGAATGGGGCGGGGTGATGGAAGGAGGGAGAATGGGGCGGGGTGATGGAAAGCGGGAGAATGTGGCGGGGTGATGGAAAGCGGGAGAATGGGGCGGGGTGATGGAAAGCGGGAGAATGGGGCTGGGTGATGGAAAGCGGGAGAATGGGGCGGGGTGATGGAAAGCGGGAGAATGGAGCCGGGTGATGGAAAGCGAGAGAATGGGGCGAGGTGATGGAAGGAGGAAGAATGGGGAGGGGTGATGGAAAGCGGGGGAATGGGGCGGGATGATGGGAAGCGGAAGAATGGGGCGGGGTGATGGAAAGCGGGAGAATGGGGCGGGGTGATGGAAAGCGGGAGAATGGGGCGGGGAGATGGAAAGCGGGAGAAAGGGGAGGGTGATGGAAAGCGGGAGAATGGGGCGGGCTGATGGAAAGCGGGAGAATGGGGCGGGGTGATGGAAGGAGGGAGAATGGGGCGGGGTGATGGAAGGAGAGAGAAGGGGGCGGGGTGATGGAAAGTGGGAGAATGTGGCGGGGTGATGGAAAGCGGGAGAATGGGGTGGGGATATGGGAAGCGGGAGAATGGGGCGGGGTGATGGAAAGCGGGAGAATGGGGCGGGGTGATGGAAGGAGGGAGAATGGGGCGGGGTGATGGAAGGAGGGAGAATGGGGCGGAGTGATGGAAAGCGGGAGAATGGGGCGGGGTGATGGAAGGAGGGAGAATGGGGCGAGGTGATGAAAGGAGGGAGAATGGGGCGGGGTGATGGAAAGCGGGAGAATGGGGCGGGGTGATGGAAGGAGGGAGAATGGGGCAGGGTGATGGAAAGCGGGAGAATGGGGCGGGTTGATGGAAAGCGGAAGAATGGGGCGGGTGATGGAAAGCGGGAGAATAGGGCGGGGTGATGGAAAGAGGGAGAATGGGGCGGGGGTGATGGAAAAGGGGGAGAATGGGGAGGGGTGAAAGAAAGAGGGAGAATTGGGTGGGGTGATGGAAAGCGGAAGAATGGGGCGGGGTGATGGAAAGCGGGAGAATGGGCGGGGGTGATGGAAAGCGGGAGAATGGGGCGCGGAGATGGAAAGCGGGAGAATGGGGCGGGGTGATGGAAAGAGGAAGAAAGGGGCGGGGTGATGGAAAGCGGGAGAATGGGGCGGGATGATGGAAAGCGTGAGAATGGGGCGGGGTGATGGAAAGAGGGAGAATGGGGCGGGGTGATGGAAAGCGGGAGAATGGGGCGGGGTAATGGAAAGCGGGAGAATGGGGCGGGGTGATGGAAGGAGGGAGAATGGGGCGGGATGATGGAAAGCGGGAGAATGTGGCAGGGTGATGGAAAGCGGGAGAATGGGGTGGGGTGATGGAAAGCGGGAGAATGGGGCGGGGGTGATGGAAATCGGGAGAATGGGGCGGGGTGATGGAAAGCGGGAGAATGGGGCGGGTTGATGGAAGGAGGGAGAATGGGGCGGGGTGATAGAAAGCGGGAGAATGTGGCGGGGTGATGGAAAGCGGGAGAATGGGGTGGGGTTATGGGAAGCGGGAGAATGAGGCGGGGTGATGGATAGCGGGAGAATGGGACAGGGTTATGGGAAAGAGGGAGAATGGGGAGTTGATGCTTTTATAGGGGAGTTGACGCTTTTATAGAAGAGTTGATGCTCTTATAGGGGAGTTGACAGCTCTTATAGAGAAGTTGACGCTTTATAGGGAGTTGACGCTCTTATAGGGGAGTTGATGCTCTTATATGAGAGTTGACGCTTTAAAATGAGAGTTAACACTTTTATGGGGGAGTTGACACTTATATATGAGAGTTTGACGCTTTTATATGGGAGTTGACGCTCTTATAGGAGAGTTGACGCTGTTGTAGGGGAGTTGACGCTCGTATAGCAGAGTTGACGCTCTTATAGGAGAGTCGACTCTCTTCTAGGGGAGTTGACGCTTTTATATGAGAGTTGACGCTTTATGGGGGAGTTGACGCTCTTATAGGGGAGTTGACGCTCTTATAGGAGAGTTGACGCTTTTATAGGGGAGTTGACGCTCTTATAGGAAAGTTGACGCTCTTACATGGGAGTTGACGCTCTTATAGGGGAGTTGACACTCTTATAGGGGAGTTGACGCTCTTTTAGGAGAGTTGATGCTATAATATGAGAGTTGACGCTTTTGTGGGGGAGTTGACGCTCATATAGGAGAGTTGACGCACTTATCGGAGAGCAGACGCTTTTATAGGGAGTTGACGCTTTTACAGGGAAGTTGACGCTCTTATAGGGGAGTGACGCTCTTATAGGAAAGTTGATGCTCTTACAGGAAAGTTTGACGCTCTTATAGGAAAGTTGACGCTCTTATAGGAAAGTTGACGCTCTTATGGAGTGATGCTCTTTTAGGGGAGTTGATGCTCTTATATGCGAGTTGACGCTTTTAAATGAGAGTTGACACTTTTATGGGGGAGTTGATGCTTTTATATCAGAGTTGACGCTTTTGTTGGGGAGTTGACGCTCTTATAGGGGAGTTGACGCTCTTTTGGGAGAGTTGACGCTCTTATATCAGAGTTGATGCTTTTATAGAGGAGTTGACGCTTTTATAAGGGAGTTGACGCTCTTATAGGGAGTTGACGGTCTTGTTGGGAGTTGACACTCTTATAGGGGAGTTGACGCTCTTATAGGGGAGTTGACGCTCTTATAGGGGAGTTGACGCTCTTATAGGGGAGTTGACACTCTTATAGGGAAGTTGGCGCTCTTATAGGGGGAGTTGACGCTTTTTATGTGAGAGTTGACGCTTTTATGGGGGAGTTGACGCTCTTATAGGAGAGTTGACGCTCTTATTGGAGAGCTGACACTTTTATAGGGGAGTTGACGCTTTTATAGGGGAGTTGACTCTCTTATAGGGGAGTTGACGCTCTTATAGGGAAGTTTACGCTCTAATAGGGGAGTTGACGCTCTTTATAGAAGAGCTGACGCTCTTATATGATAGTTGACACTTTTGAATGGGAGTTGACACTTTTATATGAGAGTTAAAGATGTAAAGGGAGAGTTGACGCTCTTATAGGAGAGTTGACGCTCTTATAAAAGAGCTGACGCTCTTGTAGGGGAGTTGACACTCTTATAGAGGAGTTGACGCTCTTATAGGGGAGTTGACGCTCTTATAGGGGAGTTGACACCCTTATAGGGGAGTTGACGCTCTTATAGGGGAGTTGACGCTCTTATATGAGAGTTGACGCTTTTATTGGGGAGTTGACGCTTTTATAGGGGAGTTGACACTCGTTTTGGGGAGTTGACGCTCTTATAGGGGAGTTGACGCTCTTATAGGGGAGTTGGACGCTCTTATAAGGAAGTTGATGCTCTTGAAGGGGATTTGACGCCCTTATAGGGGAGTTGACGCTCGTATATGAGAGTTGACACTTTAAAGAGTAGTTGATGTGTTTATAGGGGAGTTGACGCTCATATAGGGGAGTTGACGCTTTTATATGAGAGTTGCCCCTTAAATGGGGGAGTTGACGCTCTTATAGGAGAGCTGGCGCTTTTATAGGGGAGTTGAAGCTCTTATAGGGAAGTTGACGCTCTTATATGGAAGTTAACGCTCTTATAGGGCAGTTGACGCTCTTATATGAGAGTTGACGCTTTTAAAGGGGAGTTGACATGTTTATGGAGAGTTGACGCTTTTATATGAGAGTTGACGCTATTATAGGGGAGTTTGACGCTCTTATAGGAGAGTTGACGCTCTTTAATGAGAAGCTGACGCCTTTATAGGGGAGTTGACGCTTTTATAGGGGAGTTGACGCTCTTATAGGGGAGTTGATGCTCTTATAGGGAAGTTGACGCTCTTATAGGGGAGTTGACGCTCTTATATGAGAGTTGACGCTTTCCATTACCCCGCCCCATTTCTCCCGCTTTCCATCACCCCGCCCCCATTCTCCCGCTTTCCATCACCCCGCCCCATTCTCCCACTTTCCATCACCCCGCCCCATTCTCCCGCTTTCCATCACCCCGCCCCATTCTTCCTCTTTCCATCACCCCGCCCCTTTCTCCCGCTTTCCATCACCCCGCCCCATTCTCCGCTTTCCATCACCCCTCCCCATTCTCCCGCTTTCCATCACCCCCCCCATTCCTCCCGCTTTCCATCACCCCGCCCCATTCTTCGCTTTCCATCACCCCGCCCCATTCTCCCACTTTCAATCACCCCGCCCCTTTCTTCCTCTTTCCATCACCCTGCCCCATTCTCCCTCTTTCCATCACCCCTCCCCATTCTCCCGCTTTCCATCACCCCGCCCCATTCTCCCGCTTTCCATCACCCCGCCCCATTCTCCCGCTTTCCATCACCCCACCCCATTCTCCCGCTTTCCATCACCCCGCCCCAATCTCCGTTTTCATCATCCCGCCCCATTCTCCCGCGTTCCATCACCCCGCCCCATTCTCTCGCTTTCCATCACCTCGCCCCATGCTCCCGCTTTCCATCACCCCGCCCCATTCTCCCGCTTTCCACCACCCTGCCCCATTCTCCCGCTTTCCATCACCCTGCCCCATTCTCCCGCTTTCCATCACCCCGCCCCATTCTCCCGCTTTCCATCACCCCGCCCCATTCTCCCGCTTTCCATCACCCCGCCCCATTCTCCCGCTTTCCATCACCCGCCCCATTCTCCCGCTTTCCATCACCCCGCCCCATTCTCCCTCTTTCCATCACCCCGCCCCATTCTCCTCTTTCCATCACCCCGCCCCATTCTCCCGCTTTCCATCACCCCGCCCCATTCTCCCCCTTTCCATCACCCCGCCCATTCTCCCGCTTTCCATCACCCCCCCCCATTCTCCCGCTTTCCATCACCCCGCCCCATTCTCCCGCTTTCCATCACCCCGCCCCATTCTCCCTCTTTCCATCACCCCGCCCCATTCTCCCGCTTTCCATCACCCCGCCCCATTCTCCCTTTTTCCATCACCCCGCCCCATTCTCCCGCTTCCATCAACCCGCCCCATTCTCCCGCTTTCCATCACCCCGCCCCATTCTCCCTCTTTCCATCACCCCGCCCCATTCTCCCTCTTTCCATCACCCGCCCCATTCTCCCGCTTTCCATCACCCCCCCCCATTCCCCCTCTTTCCATCACCCCGCCCCATTCTCCCGCTTTCCATCACCCCGCCCCATTCTCCCTCTTTCCATCACCCCGCCCCATTCTCCCGCTTTCCATCACCCGCCCCATTCTCCCGCTTTCCATCACCCCGCCCCATTCTCCTGCTTTCCATCACCCCGCCCCATTCTCCCTCTTTCCATCACCCCACCCCATTCTCCCGCTTTCCATCACCCCGCCCCATTCTCCCGCTTTCCATCACCCTGCCCCATTCTCCCGCTTTCATCAACCCGTCCCATTATCCCTCTTTCCATCACCCCGCCCCATTCTCCCGCTTTCCATCACCCCGCCCCATTCTTACTCTTTCCATCTCCCCCGCCCCATTCTCCCGCTTTCCATCACCCCGCCCCATTCTCCCTCTTTCCATCACCCCGCCCCAATCTCCCTCTTTCCATCACCCCGCCCCATTCTCCCTCTTTCCATCACCCCGCCCCATTCTCCCTCTTTCCATCACCCCGCCCCATTCTCCCGATTTCCGCACCCGCCCCCCCATTCTCCCTCTTTCCATCACCCCGCCCCATTCTCCCTCTTTCCATCACCCCGCCCCATTCTCCCTCTTTCCATCACCCCGCCCCATTCTCCCGCTTTCCATCACCCCGCCCCATTCTCCCGCTTTCCATCACCCC